GTGAACACGAAATAAGAGCAAAAACTATCAAAACAAACTCACAGAGACATTCAAAAGAGCACATACAGCATGCTTATCAGCTCATCTGATCAGCTATTGTCTTACTGGTGTACTGACTAAAGCAGAACTCAGAAGGCATAAAAATTAGCTGTTTCCACCATCTTGAGGAGACGACATTAGTATGCTGACACTAAACTCGTGGCTTCTGTAACTAATATGCCCTGTTGGTTACAAATTGCGTTTGAAATATTCTGAAATGTTAGAGCTGGCTGAATTATCCAAACCAGAATTGTTAATATTTTTACAAATAGAAGCTGTCAGGTTTGTTCAAGGCAATTCACAAATTCATACCACTCTTTATCTGACAGAATTCAGATCAGTGCCAAATAATGGGCATAATATCTCACAAGTCCCAGAATTTTCAATTAATTTAGGATAAAAAATAATTCAGTTGAAAAGTCATACTGCTAATTACTCTGATTTAAAGAGCATTTCAGTTACCTAACTGAAGAACAGATATAGTGCACTCAATTTAGGTGGTCAGTCACAGTTCAGAAATAATGAATACTTAATGATTAATACACAACACAGAAACAGTCTTAATGTGAAAATTATTCCTTTGACTAATCTAGTGGATAGCTGGCAACAATAGACATTTGCAATCAATTAAAGGAGCTGGCTGCAGATTCAGACTGAAATAATGCTCCCATGAAAAGTGCAGTTTTTCATGTTTTACCCAAAATGTTTTTTGTCCCCTTGGAAGGTCCAGATCCAGGTGTTTGAATTTACTTTTTTAAAATGAAAGGAGGCAATTTATCTTGGATCATCTCAATAAACTTTTAGTGGTATTTCCATATCAAGTTAGTGTCCTGGTGTTGTTGAAGTTGTACCGGTGGGTGCCAGGCTGGAGGGTGCATCCAGGGGCTGGTGAAGAGATGATGGGAGCTAGAGAGAGACAGGCTGTTGAGGGGGGCCTGAGAAAGTTTCTGGCAAGAGGTTTCCTGGAAAAATGGGGCAGCCAGAAATAGAACAAATTAACAAAAGTTAATCACAGTATCATATAATGGTTTGGGTTGGAAGGGACCTTAAAGATAAAATATAAAGAAAAAATAACTAGTCACCATTAGTAACTAAGCATTCATACCTAAAGCACAAAATTAAGGCAAAGAAATTAGTCAAAATTGTTCTGAAAATAGCTTAGTTCAGTGGGAAGTGACCTTCAGATTGGTCAAAATATATTCCAGAACCATGCTACATCTCCAACACTTCCCAGTGAACAGAGAACGGAGAAAAATCTTACCGTAAAAATGTTCCATTCCAACTATTCCAAAATAATAACAATATAAACCCTACCTATTCTGAAAGTACATTTTAAATTAGATCGTACTAAATTTCCATTCAAAACAGAATATAAGAAAACAAAACAAAAAGCAAGACACATTTTTTTCAGGGAAAGCAAACTAGGAACATCCCAGCTGCTCAGTGCTGTGAGCAAGACTTATAAATCCTGCTCTTTTCAGCAGTAAGTCAGATAACTGCGTATTGTTGTCATCTGTGTATATTTTCCCTTCCTTCAAGATTTGTATAAATTATTTGCCATAGCAACTCCCAGTGATAGTAAGTTGTACAGTTTAATTACATATTGCACAAAATTATTCCCATTTGTCACTTTTCATGTTCCCACATAAGAAATTTTGTTCAAACAAGTCATGTGTCCCAGAAAAGGGGCTGTTTTTATACTTTCATCTTAATTACCTACCTAGTCATTGTTTAAACCTTACTGCAGGTATGCTGGCATGCCTAGGTAGCGGTGCCAGGGCTGGCTGAAGCCGCACACTTTGTAGGGTCCCTGTGATCCCTGTCCCCATGCAGCCAGCCCAGCTGGAGTAAGTGGCTGGCACATTAGGACTTGCAAAGGAAGGGGTAAGCCTCATAAACAGTTGGAGGTGTTGCAACATTTAGCCTCAGTGCATGCAAGGATCTTCTCCAGTGTGAGCATGGCAAAGAATGGGATGGCAAAATCTGGAAGCAAAATCACTGGCTGATATCGCAAGTAGAAAATTAAAGAGGAATGAAATACACTGATTGAATGCAGACTATTTTCATAACCTTCCCCTCTGTGCAATTTCCTGAAATGCTATGGAAAACACCTACCACAGAGATGAACAGTACGAAAACTGCTTTTTATTCAATTCCCCTCCACACCAGTGTCTTTTTCATGGTTTTCATTCTGCAGTCCAGATGTTTCATGTCGCACCACCCCGAGTCCCAGTGAGGAGCAGAGCTGTGTCCTCGGCTGGAGCCCATTGCCATGGCATTGCCAGGCTGCATTGGCAGGTGAGTCACTGGTATTTAACTCAGTGGAAGTCAAGTACTAAAACCAGGGATCACCAGAAAATAGCTTGTCATGAAGAACACAAGAGCAAGTTGTAGCTGAGGTCTTTACACAGTAGATGCAGATATTTGCTCAGAGAAAGCAGTTTTGTGGGTTTTGTTGCGACATAAGAATAAATGACTGTAAGTGTGAGCACACTAATGCCTGCCACGCTATTGCTGTTCCTTGGTGTCCATCTAATCCACTTAAGGAGAAAAACACAGGGAGCAAGAGTTTGCCTACCCACACAGTGGTGGTCACCTATCTAGACACAGGCTGGAAATGCCAGGAAGGGAGACCCTTCCCCAGAGGCAACCATGAGAGCAGAAGGAGCTGCTGAATAAAAGGTAGGAGCCAGTTAGTTGAATCCAGGACTAATCTTGAGATGCTCTACCTAAGAGCTCTCCAGGTTCCTGATTCACCACCATGCTTAAACTCTAAAAACACTGGTTGCTTTGAGAGTTCAAGTAAGGAAATTTTCATAAAAGCTTGACTTGATGTTATTCCACTACAAGCTCTGTGCTGAATTAAACATAAGGCTGAGAAGATATGTTGACAGTATATCAGCATGAGGATCTGCTGGCCACTGCTGAATACAGGTAAATAGTTTTATGTCATTTTCTTTAAGGCTCATTTCCAGCTTTCAATCAGTCCCATGTATAACACGGCTGAAGTGCTGAGCAACACATCTTATCATGGCCAGTTGTCTGAAATGTGGAGATGTGGCTAATTTTGAGAAATGAATCACTTGTCTTTTCCATTTGCATTATTATGGTGTGAGCCTATGCTGAAATAAAAACGCATTCAGCTGGAGTATACTGTGCCTAATACATCACAGAAAATAGCTGAGTGATAAAAAAAAAAAGCTAAATAATCTGTGCAGTCCATTACAGATGTGCAGCTAAGCTGTAGCTTTCTCAGTGTTCATCTCTAAGACTGCAACTTTATTTCTTGCTAAAAATAACATGTTTTCCAGATGAAGCAAATACCACAGGGCAGATGTACTTGGAAGAGAGTGTGTGAAGGGTGTCATCTGGAAATCTACCATTTTAGGGTGGGCACAATGCATGGCAGAGCAAGAGTCCTGCAGACCTGAGTGCCCATAAACCACAGCTGGGTAAAAAAGAGCACATGCCTTGGACATGTCCACAAGAGAAGTGCGCAGAGCAGCTCTGAGAACACAGTGGGCAGCTGTGCAGAGCTGCTCTTACCCATGTACACGATACATAAAATTCAACTTGCACAAGGCCAAACCATGGGAAGGCCCTGTTACTAATGGGGCAGCATTGGAAGAATGGCAGAACAATGACACAGTGTGTGATGGGGCTTATCAGCCTGTGGAAAGCATTATATTTCATGTTTGTCTGTGGCAGCATGAGATTGCATTTGGTTCAGTCAGTCTCATCGCTACTCTGGTCCAGTTAATTTAAGAAATGTATTGATTTGCACAGTTGATATATCTCTCTTGGTACAACAGCATGTACTGTTGTGATCCAGCATGTAGAGAGCAGGATTTCATTGCAGGGGGACAGGCACCAGGCAAGCAGGATGATATCCATTCTTGCCAAATGGCATCAGGAAGTTTATTTGGATTTTATCCAAGTGTTAAGTTCTAGATATGAGAAGCTACAGTTCAACTTAAGGCTACATATACCTACCTCACCTGGCACACAGGATGGCCCCAGGATGATGGGGACTAGTGGGGCTAGTGGCACCATTTGCTGCAGTGAGAGTATCCGATATGCAGCATACATCATCCCAAAAAAGAGTAGCAGCAATGTTCAACATTTACTGCTGCTGTAGGAGCAACCAGTCTCTGCATTGAAGAAGGGGTCATATTGGGCTCAAAGCAGCTTCCTATCCCTGACCTGTGCCTGGGAAGAAGGAGAATGCAGCACATCACGATGCCAGCATTTCATGCCTGGGAGTTGTGGGTATCCAGTGAAATGTACTGGAAGAGGCAGAGCTTCCCCTGCTGAAGTTCTCACCCAAAGTTGCCCACCAGATGATATGAAACATGAATGGTTGTTCACTCTGCACAAAAAGAGAAACAAAAGCACATTCTGAAGGGTCTGTTAATTAATAATCACAGCACAGGCTGGAGGCAGTGCAGTGTATTAACTTGTTAATGTGAAAGCAGGGAAAGAAAGGTGGTGACAGCTATTACTGAATGAGGAAAAAACAAACAAACAAACAAACAAAAGCACACAACATGAAAGGCTTATTAACATTTTCCAGTGGACTTAAAAGGTTCTCTCCTTTCAAGGATAAGAACAAAATTGATTTGAGGGGACAGCTTTATTAAATTTAAAGTTAGCTTTAAAAAATTTTACACAGTAGCATTTTCTGGAGATAAATATCAGCCTGACGCTTCCTTTTGCTTGCAATTTCTGCAGGGGCTTATCTCTCTGGGCAGGATTCCCTAACTATTTTGCACCATTCAGTAAAATGCCTGTGTCATGGTACTTACTGTGGTGTTGCACTAAGGAGCATCTTTTCAGATCCCTGAGTGACTGAGGAACCAGAGCCTCCTCGTATCAGCACACTGCACCACAAGGAGAGAGACAGCAGCTCGTTGGCCATCTGGATCTGGGATTTTCCATGGCCAAAACCATAAGAAGTTGGCAGTGGGAAAGAAAGCCATGGGGATCATATTCATCAGATGTTAAAGCTCATCAGACAAATGTCTTCTTCACTGCAGCCTCAACTAAGCAGAGCTTTTCAGTGGTGAGAACCACAGCAGGCTTAGCTGGACCCAAAATCATTCGGTTGTGTCTTCTCAGGAGGCTTTGTCACCCCACTCCTCTGCTGGGACCACAGGAGCTTCAGTATTGCATAAGCAACCTCCTCCACCTACAAAAGCAGCCCCTGCTTGCAACAGAGCAGAAGCTGGGAGGTATCAAGCCTGAGAAAGTGATGGGATGGCAGGTTCCTGAAAAACTGAGAGTTTTGTTTGTCTTTTAAAAGGAATGCCAGGTCTGCAACTCAGAGCTGCATGGCCCCTTTAAATGCCACCCAAATCAATATTTTCCATTGGCCTCCATGTCTTGATAGTTTACTGTCTGTCTTTAATAGACTGATTTATCTATTTTCAGAGCTGATAAATTTCAGCATATTAAGATAATAGTGTAACATTTGTTGCTATTAAAACCTATAAAACCAAAATTTAAATGTAATTCAATTTTAAGTGGAAAATAATGATAGCTATTGAGATGCCCAAAGACAACTTTTTACTCATCCCTCATCAACATTGTATTAAACAGGAAAAAGGTTCACTACAAGTATTTTGAATATATTATAAATTAATGGTCAATCGTAAGATATATTGAAGCTTTTTAGAAAAAAATTGCATGAGTTTATCTTCAGATGCTCAGAGAGTTTTCTGTCAAAATGATTTGTTCATTTTGAAGTACATTTCCTGTAAAAGCGATTACTGAAATGTATTGCAACATTTTGATTCAGTATAGCTAATCTAGAAATTCTCTGCCTGAATTATTACCGTGTTCGAAGCCTGAACTGTCACATCCAAAGTCTCCTCCTCTCCCCATGGGCTGGGCAGCTCTCCCAGGCTGTCTCCCATGAGAGTCCCTGCCCTCAGACCAAGCAAAAAGTGCCCCAAGGGACTCTGTAGTGCCTCCTGAAATATGTACTCTGTGAAGGTAGGACATCAATAGGGAGAAAAAACAAAGTAAAGCACCTAAAATACATCTTTACTGAAGAGCTATTCTTGTTAGCATTTTTAACCTACTTTTTTCTGAATTAGTCAATACCCATGCATACAGATGGAGTATTTTGATATTGATAATAGTCCTACAGAAGATGGAAACAAGAATTGTATGCTTCACTCTGCTATTAGTATTGATTGCCTTCATATTATGTAGTGCAGCATTTATCTTCATTGATGAAATAATGTATCCACTTCCAGTGCATGTGATGTGAGAATTTACATGGAATGGCTGCAAGAGCCAAAACACACCCCTTTGACATACGCTCCAAAACTCTTTTGCTAAATTCTGTATCACAGCAGGTCAGCAATTTCTTGGCCATCATCTCTGCTCTGCGACAGTCACTCGGGTCACTCACCCAGTCCATCCCAGCTCCTCCATCCTGGGAAAGCATCACTCACATTCAGGGAGCAGGAGTCTCATCCCCACTTTTTACTTGACAGCTTTTCTTGGTGATTTGTCCCAGTTCTACTTGGAGCAGACCCACTTCTAAAGTAAAAAATCAAACAAACAAAACACAAACCAGAACAACTTACAAAAAACGGTAACCCCCTTAATCATACTTGAAAATATATTTTTAGCTTTGTGATGCAGAGGTGTTTGGTATCTATTTCTTTGTGATCATTTACATACTTTCTTTATAGACTCCAGCCATGGCCTTTCATCTGTGCCATCTTGGTCCCTGGCTCACCCCTTCGCTGATCTGAAGCAGTTATGTGCTCAGTGGCTAAAGTGACACCTTGAAATGCAGAGAAAGGAGAGGTAAATGTATTATTTAGCTGTAGGAGCAGCTATTTTTAAGGAGCATAACATATAAAACCTTAATAAAGAAAAGATATTTCAAAAGTATCTTTACTTGATTTGCTTATTTGGTACAACTCCCTGGTTTCTTTAGCGGTGTTGCATTCCCCTGAGTTTTGGGATGGTGAAGTGGTCTCGTGAGCGGGAGTCACCGTTCCTTTCCTCAGTCCTGTATTATGTATGATGCAGGAGAAAGCCTTTTTCATTTCATATGGGGGCCACACCCACTGCCTGGCTCCAAGCCTTCCTGAAAAGCAGCATTTGTGAGATGTTAAGGCACTACACTTAAAGTATAGACCATTCAAGTGGATATTTCAAGTGGGCTGAATGTGATAGAAGGACGTAGAAATCATTCTCAAGGCTCCATGTCCTGAGCTTCTTCCTTAACAGCCGCTGAAAGCTTAAGAGGTGAAGAATAAAATGACCAAGAAGTGAAGCATCAGAAAAAAAAACAAAACAAGCCAGTGTAGGGTTTTTATATATGTATATACATACATACATATATATATATATTTTGTTAAGAGAAAAGGGCTGCATCTCATACTCCATATGATGACGACAGTCACCGGGGCTGCAGGCTGCCTGTAAAGGAGAAGCTGAAGATTCTGTGAGCAGACCCCCACTTACAGCACTGCTGTCATGACACTGTGCTCACCTCTGCACCCTTTCTAATGGCGTGCACTGCGTTACCCAGCCTGTTTCTCACCACTTGAGAGGTGATCCAAGCCCTCATCAGCACTGCCCTTGCCATGCATGCCTTCTCCATCAACAGGTGCTGCTGCAGGGCTGCCCAACAGCATGACAAAGAAAGGCAGCAGGAGGACATGGCAGGATTGAAAACAAGTTGTAACGAAAGCCACATGTTGCAAGTAGAAGAAAATAGCTCAAAGAGAAATGAAATCTCAGGGAAACAAGGAAAATAGTTAATAATTTTTTACCCAGGTACATGGGGGAAAACAGGCATCACTTCTCAGACTGTTCTGCAGAACTTGAAATTCAGATCCTAACTTGTAACCAGGGGCCCTGCAAATCTTACCCACGCTTCTTGTGTGATCTCCTTTTCCTCCATTCCTGATGGGCCATCAAAGCTCCCTCTCCAAACAACAAAGCAATCCGCATGCATGCAATCAAAAGAGCCAGCAGAACCGCTAGAATATTACAAGGGCCGCTGCAGGCAGGGGTGTGGAAAACTGCTCCTCCTGCTAACAGGATCTGGGAATGTCTAAGGTGTCCACTACACAAGCACCTTCACACTGTGTTTGGCTTGGCTGGTTAGAGCACAAGCAGCTAATACACAACAGGACTGTCAAGTAAGAAATTACTTGTGTTTCTGATTTAAAGAACTTAAAGAAAGGTAAAGGATTGATGATTAAAATTTACAAGCATAAAATTGAAGGAGGCAGTTTCCAAAAGCCTGAAACCAGCCTGAAAAGTGCACAACACAGATTCTGTACAGCATTCACTTTTCTCCAAAGCATTTTCTCTTGTGCATTATACTGAAGCCAAGTTCTATGCCTGAGATGCAAAACAGGGTGGGAAATGCCCAAGTGAAGCCCATTAGTAAATTAATATTTGGTTTCCTAAGTGATTCACAAGCTTTCCACAAGTAGGTAAAAGGGACTCAGTAATTAAACTGACTGCTAATACCCACATAAATAAAGAGCCTGTTCTGTCCTGAGCAAACATGCTCGCCTCGTTAAGGCATTGACACCGTTAGCCAAGAGGCTAAAGGAAAGAGCAGAATCCCACCTGGCTCATTCATTTTCAGCTCAGTCACTAATTAGTCACCACAGTCTCTCAAGTCCATCTATTAATGGGGAAAAGGCAGAAGCACACATTAGAGCACAGGCCAATAAAAACCTTTAACAAGTTTGATTAATGTATATTTATAATGATTTAAATGGGGCCCTCTCATCAGTCTCCCCCTGTAAAAGGAGAGGTAACATAGCCTGAGGGCTCTTTTTACTCATCACAGCTTATTATGTTAATCTAAACACTGCCCATCATCACTCAGTGTCCACAGCATTGCACAGCACTGTCACCACACACTGCTGTGAGCACCAGGGCACACTGCGACAGGGAGTGCAAAGGCGACTTACTGGTTTAGTGATGCTCATGATGCAAGTCATATCATCACTTAGACATGTTTTTTTCCTTACCTGCAAACATGATGGACTTTTGGTGGACTCAGTACATGTTACATCAAGCTAGAGTGAGTGATGCTCCACGTTAAACATCATTCCCAGTGCCATCTGTGGTTATGGAGACTTATAGCGAGGCATAGCCAGGAGTTCCCAGAACCAGCTGTGATTAACAGCCCCAGCTTCAGCAGATAGCACAGGAGCTCTGTGCACTCATTGCTGCCAGGGGACAGGCTTAAACTTGCACACTCTTAATTGCTGCTTAGGTTTATTGCATTTCAGCCACTTCTTTCCAGGGACACATCCATACAGCCCCTGCCCTCCGTACTAAAAACAACACTACAGATTGATCATAGTCATGCTGAGTTTCTTGTTCCTGGTGACATGGTCCTTTGGGGAAGATTTATTGTATCACAACTGCTGAAAATTTAGTGGTACTTACCCTGACCTGCCATTCAGAATTTAGGCACCTGAAGAACTGTGAGTGAAGAATCACAACTCTGCAAAAGAACCTACTTTACTGAAGATGGATTATGCTTCTCAAGTTCCCTTTCCCTCTGTCCTGGGTTCAGCAGTCGCAGTCATTTTTCCCCTTCTTGGTGGCTGGTGCAGTGCAGTGTTTTGACTTTCGGCCTGGGAACAGAACTGATAGCGATGTTTTGGTTTGGCCAAGGACTTTGTGAGCCTCATGCTCTGCCAGGGAGGAAGGGAAGCCAGGAGGAAGCAGAGACAGGACACCTGGCCCAAACTGACCAGAGGTATTCCATACCACAGCACGTCATGCCCAGGATGTAACTGGGAGTTAGCCGGAAGGGCTGGGAGACTGCGGGGTTGGAGGAGGTATTGGTCGGTGCTTGGTCGGGCTTGGGGGGTGAGTTATCGGTCGGCTGGTGCTGAGGTGTTGTATTCTCTTCCCTTGTTATTTCCTTTATCATTATTATCATTGGTGGTAGCAGTAGTGATTTGTGTTATACCTTAGTTACTAAACTGTTCTTATCTCAACCCGTGGGAGTTGCATTCTTTTTGATTCTCCTCTCCGTCCCTCCGGGAGCAGGGGGAGGGCAAGAAAGGGGGGGAAGTGAGTGAATGAATTACCTGACTGGGTTTAAACTACGACAACCTCCCATTTTTTCATGGGGCAGGTGAAGACACAACCTCTCACAAAACATGCAGAGCAAGAGCTGCTGCTGTTCAGGACCCCTGGATCCAAATCATTACCACAACCAGTCTATTCCCAGAGGCCAGGTCACAACTGAAGGTGTAAATTGGACATTTTGAATGTATGTAAAACTATATATATATATATAATATAATATATATATTTATCCACACCAAAAACAACAGCAATGTCAAAATCTGCACTAGTTGAAGTAGTCACTTCAGTCTTTACAGGAACCAGTCCTTATTTTCTTTCCAAATTAGAAATACAGGGAATTGGTTAATACATAGAAAATGTTTCTGTAGATATATTTGATGTAAGTTCTTCAGTTATGGTAATAGATGCCCCCAGTGCTGCAGCAGAGCTGCACTGCATATGAATGTGTCAGTTTTGGTTTTGGCTGTTGACAATTTGAAATATGAACAATTTAGGAATGTGAAAATAGAAAAGTTGTGTTGATCTGTAACTAAAAAAAACCCCAAGCATTTAATTAAAAACTCAGAGGGTAAACATGACTGAAATCCGATATAGAAAATAAAAATAAAAATAAAAATTTAGAGAAACACTTTTAAAGTTAAAAGTGCTGTTTCTGTAGAACTTCATTATAATATAGCAGGTACAACACAACATTAAGCACCAGATGCAGTTGCACTCACATCATGATGTCTATTACAAACTGCAGCTGTTTAATATTTACAGTTCTGAAACTGGGAGCATCTATTTCAAAATAAGCATTATCCTAAGAGGTATTTCCAAGGATTGGAGTGATAATAGTATCATTTTGATAATAGTATCATTTTAAGCAATATCCTTCAGCTCATATCATTAATTTTTCAGAAAAAAAAAAGCATGTAATATTTTCTTGCTAATATGAAACCCTTTTGACATATTTACAAATCAAACCCATAAAACTGCACAAAGATTTGGGCCACAAGGTAGAGGCTAAGCATTTTCACAGACTTTATTTTGTTCTGCAAATAATCTCCTGGCTGAGAGCTCAGAATATCCGCTTTCTGGTGCAGAGCTCAGCATCACAATGCTTCCAGCCAGATGCTAACTTAGGCTTTACTTTATTCCAAGAAAGATTAAAGGCTTCTGCAATGTGCGAGCCATCAGCTTGAAATATTGTCATTGACTATATTTTTTATATTCCTTCTCCAGCCCAGAAAAGAGAACAGAGGGGAATGGACTATAATAACAACTGTGACAGGCTCGCATGGTTAACAGGGAATAGTCCTTCATCTTTGCCAGCACCAGAGACAGACCCCACTCCAGCTCAGAGGTACCACACCGAAGTTCACATGCTGTGCAGCTGCACCACAGGTCTCCTCACTGCTGTGGGGTGGATTTCTGGAAGTTCATACTAATGAAATAAAATGAATTAATGGCTGTTGAAGCCTGTGGTCACAGTACCACAGAAGGTTATAACCTGGAGAGAAAACACCATGTGCCTCCTTTGGCTCTTACACATCTGTAGGCATTGGGTTAGGCATTGTAGGCATTGTACTGAGGACCTGGGCTGGGCAGATGTTCACTCTGGTCACCAATGTTTGTATATAAGCCTTTCTGGAAAATAAAATATATTTAGGAAGTCTGACAGGCAAAACACTTTTCCCTGTCTGTATAAAATTATGAAGGTGTGATGGATTCTTTCCTTCGTTCAGTTTCTGGGAGTAGCACAGACCTCAGTGACACCCAGGACCACACCAAGCAACAGAGCTGGCAGGCAAAGAACACATCCT